GTCTGTTGATCAATAAATACACCTGTCCAGGTAACATAATATCATTATATACAAGCTATAGGTGGTATAAATGAAGATATCTTCTCAGTTTTTAGCATCATTAGTTTAGAAACATGAGTGTCAAACAGAAGAATCCATTAAGACTCTGTCCACCTGCGCTGCATTTTATTTTGAAATGTGATTGATTGCTCTACAGCACAGGGCAGGAAGAGGGCGCTGTTCATTTTAAAACCACCAGTGACAACTTCTGAAGGTGTGTGGAAGAGGTGGAAGAACTAATATTGTGCTTTTTACTCCACTATAGATTCAAACGCTTCCCTCAGACAGAGCTTTCTCACGCTGTGGAGTGTAACACCAAACACACACACACGCAACATACAAACACACATGGATGGGCAGAACACATAAAACACTGTAAAAAACCACATTTATAGGGCACAAAAGTTTTGAAACACAGTATATATTATCAGGACGTGCTGATGTATGAGGTTGGGCTGTAACATCATTTAAAGGAAGGCAGGTGTGTAGTGGCATCTAGTGGGAGGAATGGCAGATTGCAACCAACTTAAAGCTCTTTGGACCACGACAGTATCACCTCCGCTGGACCTTTAAAGCAGTCAGAACAATCAGAAATGCAGCAAGAAAGTTGGGACAAAATAGCCAATTGAATCTTTTAATCGTGTCATTCCTATCAACTTTCTTCCAGGGAGTAATACCAAATAATTTCAATTCTCCATCTCCCCTCCGTCGTCCTTCTCCCCGGGGTGTCAATGCGGGGTCTTTCCCTGTGACGACGGGTCACAAGTGCCTACTTCCTCCTCCGCCGGCGACATAAAGGTTGAAAGGTGAAAGTTGAACAGCTGTGTGGGTTTTGTTTTTCCTACGTAATCGAGCGTGTGTTTCATCGATGTATGTAAAAAAACAGAGGAAGAGGGGAGTTTTTTGTCAGACCCTGGGGGAGATTAAGGGGCAACGGGGCTATGGCACATGGTCAAGTCTTCCTCTACAGTTTCTTGGAAACACTGGTGGGATGGGAATCTCTCCTTCACCCACTGTCCCTAGTTGTGTCTCTCGATCTCTCTGATTATAAATCTCCCCACACCCTCTCGGTTCCGCTCTTAAACACACACCACGATCCAGCCCCTAACCCCCCTCTGCTTCAGCTTTGCCCCCAGGCTGTGGCCTCTCAAGGCTGGGGAGGCGGCAGCAAATGCCCAGGCTCCACATCCAAGATCCATAACCTCTTAAATCAGCCACACTGAGTTTTAAAAAAGAAACAAAGACGCTGCCCCCTATGGTAAGTAAACATGATTAAGTGGCCCTCCAGGGTGCCTTTGCAGTGGACAGAATGTCGGTATAAGTGTCCCTCCTGGGGGCAGTGGTTCCCAAAACCTGGGGGGTCGGAGACTTCCCACTAGGGGGTCGCCTAAAGCTTCACAGTGGGGTCATGAGGCCTTCTATGGATTTTAAGGATGTAAGAAAACTTATAAAAAATACCTTTCTGTAGGCCAATATTTCAGCATTTAAACACTGAATTGTCAAAATCAAGCCTATTAAGTGTGAATAATTGTCAAAGAAATACAAAATACATAAAGCAAAATATGTATTCATCATAAAAAAAATACCACAAAATGTTGTAAACATGTTGTCCTCTAGGTTAGCAGTTCTAAGTGACATATTTTATGAAAAATTTCACCATCTATATTTCAAAACTGTACAATGAATCCAAATAGTGAATATGTTTGGTGTTAAAAAGTGTGGAAAAAAGTAATTTGGATGAATTTTGAGCAGATTATTTCCTCTTTAGGGAACCTTTTTTATTAACAATTCTCTGTCTCGTAATAATATATTTTTTATCATTCTGAACAATTCATACAGACTTAATAGAGTTTTCTTGTTTCTTCTTTCTTTCTTCTTAAAACTTTGGCTATTGTTATATTAGCTTACTTTTATTCACATTGAATTGTGAACCAAATGCTGAGATACAGGTCTAACTGTGTGTATATTTTTACGTTTTCTAGCCTGCTTTAAAATCAAGAAGGCATTGCGACCCCCCTGTGAAGCTTTTGGTGACCCCTAGTGGAGGTCCCGACCCCAGTTTGGGAAACACAGCTCTATGGTGTCCCTCTAGTGGGACAAAGCAGAATAAAGTGCTGTCTATAGGTTGCTTGAATCTAACCCCTGACTAAGCTCAACTGTATCATTAACTTTCTGCGCTCTGGTGCCATTTTATTTTTGATCCAGGTGCCCCCCTGTGGACAAAAAAGGGGTAGTGTTTCTACTGTCTCGTTTAATTGAATTCAAGGGGAATCTGATCAAATCTGACCTGGGTGTTCAGACTTAGAAATAGCCAATTTTCCTCACTGACTGAGACATCAGTATTAAAAACTCCTTGCTGTACATTTAGTAAAATTTAGAAAAAAAAACA